ATTGGTGTTTTAACGGATGGGGCCCGCTGAGTGAGTCTATTATAATAATTGTATTTTCATTGTGTTGTTTAACGAGCTGGACATTAATGGGATGCATTGATAGTAATGAAACTTATAAGAAGATATTGTACCTCAACATACAAACCTACCCCTATAGCTCTCTCGAATTCATAAGAGATTTTCAAGTTATTGTGTTGTCATCCACATGTTGATTTAGCTGGTTTCTTCCTCATTTCTAATTTCATCATTCTGAGTTTCACCTCAGTTGAGTATTTCAGTGTAGCTCGCAATGACGAGGTCACGGAGCGGAACGGTGACGTTTAGTGTATCTCCGCATTCAGTTACGTAATTTCCGCAAAGCGCCTGCGACAATTTGCGCCGAAAAGGTCGCTGTGTCCCATCCGTTGGTCTTGTGTATTAGAGTTAAACAGCCACGACTTTCAAGTGTATTTTGCTTTTTCATATATACAATCCATTGATCACACTGGGCTAGGTGTGAGATGTACAGGTGCTTGGGAGGGTGTGTTTTTTAAAAAGCCAAATATCGCACATTCTAAGGAAATCTCGAATTGATTGTTTCATAAGTTGTCGAAATTGTGTTAAGTTCTCTTTCGTGCATTAACTTATTTGTCATGCTAAATTGGTGTGTATATGTGTGTGATTGAACAACCCTGTTTACTGAGGGGATGGCCTAAAAGTCGGGCCGGGCCGGGCCAAGGCGGGCCAAATCTATTATTGGCTAATAAACCAATTAACGAAAACCATGCCTACAATTAATCAATGCGACATTCACTCGGGATAATAATGATCAATCGGAAGCCACAAACGCGTACCATAATAACTTTATTACGAGTAAATCGGCTAAAACCCAGGGAAACCAGAAGCCTGTGAACTGGCTGACCGAGGTTACGTCTAAAAGTGGAATCGTTAAACGAAACGGGATTTAAAACGTATAAATACTTCAGGCAATTCATATACAGATTTCCGTCGGCCCGAAAATGTTTAAACATCTATATCCAATCACATACCACCCCATAAATTCACTATTCATCGTATTTAAAGCATGACCACGTTTAAATCATACGATCTCTTCCCCACACTCTTAACATTATCTCGGCCACAATTTTCCGCCCGGCATGGCTCGAGCCGATAAAAGCAACTTAAACGTAACGCACGTATCTTGAATTGTGTTTAAATCCATAGACTGGTATTATATCTACCTGAATATCGCTTTGTAATGTTATCAAATGCAACATGTAAAGAAAACTGCTCCGTTAAAGTGAAGCCCTTTTCTCTCCCCAAACACGACATAGCCTCAATCAAAAGTGTTTAGTCGCTGTTCAGCTCGGCTTGGCCCGTGCTGTCAAAAACACCTTAAACCTCACACATATATCCTGATTTGTGTTTAAATCCATAGATTAGTGTTATATCTACCTAAATATCACTTCACAGAGTCTCAAAGCGTTGTATTTGAAGCAAACACGTTGCTGAAAGTGAAGCCCTATTTTCTATACATTCTCAACAAAGACACAGTATCACAAGCTTTCGGTCCGACTTGGCCCGGGCGCTCAAACGCACCTTATACCTCACACATGTATCTTGAAATGTGTTTAAATCCATAGACTGGTATTATATCTACCTGAATATCGCTTTGTAATGTTATCAAATGCAACATGTAAAGAAAACTGCTCCGTTAAAGTGAAGCCCTTTTCTCTCCCCAAACACGACATAGCCTCAATCAAAAGTGTTTAGTCGCTGTTCAGCTCGGCTTGGCCCGTGCTGTCAAAAACACCTTGAACCTCCCACATATATCCTGATTTGTGTTTAAATCCATAGATTAGTGTTATATATACCTAAATATCACTTCACAAAGTCTCAAAGCGTTGTATTTGAAGCAAACACGTTGCTTAAAATGCAGCCCTATTTTCTATACATTCTCAACAAAGACACAGTATCACAAGCTTTCGGTCCGGCTTGGCCCGGGCTCTCAAACGCACCTTATACCTCACACATGTATCTTGAAATGTGTTTAAATCCACAGATTAGTATTATATCTATCTAAATATCACTTTGTAATGTTATCAAATGCAACATGTGAAGATAACTGGTTCGTTAAAGTTAGCCATTTTCTCTGTCCATTCACAATATAGTCTCAATCAAAAGTGTTTAGTCTCTGTTCAGCCCGGCTTGGTCCGTGCTGTCAAAAACAACTTAAAACCTCACACATGTATCTTGAAATGTATTTATATCCATAGATTAGTATTATATCTACCTACATATCACTTCACAGAGTCTCAAAGCGTAGTATTTGAAGCAAACACCTTGCTCAAAATGAAGCTATCTTTTCTACATATTCTCAACAAACAGTATCACAAGCGTTCGGTACGCCTTGGCCCGGTCTCTCAAAAACAACTTAAACCCCACACGTGTATTCTGATTTGTGTTTAAATCCATAGATTAGTATTATATCTACCTAAATATCAATGTGTGATGTTACAAAATGCCACATGTAAAGATAACTGGTTCGTTAAAGTGAAGCCCTTTTCTCTCTCCATTCACAATATAGTCTCAATCAAAAGTGTTTAGTCTCTGTTCAGCTCGGCTTGGCCCGTGCTGTCAAAAACTACTTAAACCTCACACATGTATCCTGATGTGTGTTTAAATCCGTAGATTAGTGTTATATCTACCTAAATATCACTTCACAGAGGCTCAAAGCGTAGTATTTGAAGCAAACACCTTGCTCAAAGTGAAGCCCTATTTTCTATACATTCTCAACAAAGACACAGTATCACAAGCTTACGGTCCGGCTTGGCCCGGGCTCTCAAACGCACCTTATACCTCACAGATGTATCTTGAAATGTGTTTCAATCCATAGATTAGTATTATATCTACCTAAATATTACTTTGTAATGTTATCAAATGCAAAATGTAAAGAAAACTGGTTCGTTAAAGTGAAGCCCTTTTCTCTCTCCATTCTCAACATAGCCTCAATCAAATGTGTTTAGTCTCTGTTCAGACCAACTTGGCCCGTGCTGTCAAAAACAAACTAAACCTCACACATGTATCTTGAAATGTGTTTATATCCATAGATTAGTGTTATATCTACCCTCAATATCACTTCATGGAGTCTCAAAGCATAGTATTTGAAGCAAACACCTTGCTCAAAATGAAGCTGTCTTTTCTACATATTCTCAACAAAGACACAGTATCACAAGCTTTCGGTCCGGCTTGGCTCGGGCTCTCAAACGCATCTTATACCTCACAGATGTATCTTGAAATGTGTTTCAATCCATAGATTAGTATTATATCTATCTAAATATTACTTTGTAATGTTATCAAATGCAAAATGTAAAGATAACTGGTTCGTTAAAGTGAAGCCCTTTTCTCTCTCCATTCATAACATAGCCTCAATCAAAAGTGTTTAGTCTCTGTTCAGCCCGACTTGGCCCGTGCTGTCAAAAACAAACTAAACCTCACACATGTATCTTGAAATGTGTTTATATCCATAGATCAGTGTTATATCTACCTACACACGTCTTTATAGAGTCTCAAAGCGTAGTATTTGAAGCAAACACGTTGCTTAAAGTGAAGCCCTAATTTCTATACATTCTGAACAACCACATAGTATAACATGCTTTCGGTCCGGCTTGGTCCGGGCTCTCAAAAACACCTTAAACCTCACACATGTATCCTGATTTGTGTTTAATTTCATAGATAGTATTATATCTACTTAATTATCACTGTGTGATGTTACAAAATGCCACATGTAAAGAAACCTGCTCTGTTAAAGCGAAGCCCTTTTCTCTCCCCAAACACAACATAGCCTCAATCAAAAGTGTTAAGTCGCTGTTCAGCCCGACTTGGTCCGGGCTGTCAGAAACAGCTTAAACCTCGCCCATGTATTTTGAAATGTGTTTATATCCATAGATTAGTGTTAGATCTACCTAAATATCACTTCACAGAGTCTCAAAGCGTAGTATGTGAAGCAAAAACGTTGCTTAAAGTGAAGCCCTAATTTCTATACATTCTCAACAACCACATAGTATAACATGCTTTCGGTCCGGCTTGGCCCGGGCTCTCAAAAACACCTTAAACCTCACACATGTATCCTGATTTGTGTTTAATTCCATAGATTAGTATTATATCTACCTAATTATCACTGTGTGATGTTACAAAATGCCACATGTAAAGAAACCTGATCCGTTAAAGTGAAGCCCTTTTCTCTCTCCATTCACAACATAGCCTCAATCAAAAGTGTTTAGTCTCTGTTCAGCCCGACTTGGCCCGTGCTGTCAAAAACAAACTAAACCTCACACATGTATCTTGAAATGTGTTTATATCCATAGATTAGTGTTATATCTACCTACACACGTCTTTATAGAGTCTCAAAGCGTAGTATTTGAAGCAAACACGTTGCTTAAAGTGAAGCCCTAATTTCTATACATTCTCAACAACCACATAGTATAACATGCTTTCGGTCCGGCTTGGCCCGGGCTCTCAAAAACACCTTAAACCTCACACATGTATCCTGATTTGTGTTTATATCCATAGATTAGTATTATATCTACCTAAATATCACTGTGTGATGTTACAAAATGCCACATGTAAAGAAAACTGCTCCGTTAAAGCGAAGCCCCTTTCTCTCCCCAAACACAACATAGCCTCAATCAAAAGTGTTAAGTCGCTGTTCGGCCCGACTTGGTCCGGGCTGTCAGAAACAGCTTAAACCTCACACATGTATTTTGAAATGTGTTTATATCCATAGATTAGTGTTAGATCTACCTAAATATCACTTCACAGAGTCTCAAAGCGTAGTATGTGAAGCAAAAACGTTGCTGAAAGTGAAGCTCTTTTCTACATATTCTCACCAAAGACACTGTATCATTAGCGTTCAGTCCGGTTGGCCCGGACTCTCAAAACACCTTAAACCCCACACATGCATCCTGGAATTGTGTTTAATTCCATAGATTAAATACAGCAAACGGGTGACAGCCGAAACAACACAACACAGTATTATCATTGATGCCTTTTGGCTGTTACCATTTGTCCGAAAACAGAGCAGAAATTTAAATACACATCTGTACTGAAAGCAAGTACACGGTAAATGAAGGTTGTGCATCAAACCGGAGACTTGGCCTTATGGCACTTTAATATAGTAAGTATTTGATGAAAGCAAACAATAATCCCTATCTGAATAACATACCACCGAAAGAGCACAGATAATATCTGAAGCCAGCTGCTTCTGTCCTGCTGGTCTCAGGTGAAGCCCATCGCAGGCAATGAACTCCTGCCTTACTCCCCCGGAAGACATGAAGTTAGGGTGGCCGACATAGGTCAATCCATTCTCACCACAAAAGTGTTTCACTTTCTCGTTGAGGGTGTAAGCCTTCTCGTTGAGGGAATCCTGATTTCCACGGCCTTGTCGCCATCTATTCCGGTATCTTGGGGTGACACCGGAAAGGAGTACGTACCACAGCTCTGTGTAACATAGCATACAAAACATTATGTGCATCCACCAGATATTTTGCCCACCCGCTGAAATCTGAAAAATGGAATTTATCTAAACAATCTGTAGTCGGACACTGCCTTGGACGTTTGACCTCATTTTGCAACCGCTCGTATAAGTAAATGTCAGATTAAAAGAAGTTGTTATCCATAAAAACGTAACATGTATTCAAATGTCAGATTGAGCTTGACAGGTTTTTAAACGGGTGCATAAAATTAGATGACATACCGTGGGTTCTGCTTCCTTATAATTTCAACCAGTTTCGCGAAGTTGTCCAAGACCTGCCCAGGCGTCCTAGGCATGTACGCCAGGTCGTTGATCCCAACGTGGACGATGATGAACTGGAAACAATGTTGAAGTAAAACTCACTTCAGAAATGACTCGATTTGGGCGGTCAAAACATAAGATACGCTTTTTAGCATCCGATATCCACAATGATGGGTATATTATGACTACGCGCGTAAAATAATCCTCATTCTGTGCACAATCCGACATTCTTCAACTGTTTCCTACCTTAAAGTTCTCAATGTCCCACAAGAGATCGGGAATGTCAGCCACCTTGGCTCCGGACAGAGACCTTGTCACGATCCCTTCTTTCTGCGTATAACGTCCAACATACTTCAGTAACGAGTCGCCAACAAGTAATGCAGACATTTTCAGATCAGATGATTTGAATATAGGCTGCTACTGCCCAGCTCGGCCAGTTTTATATGGATGCATTTGGAGAAAGCTAGGCGAGACACTGTGGATTTAATGAAAACATACTTCTCCCATTGCTCTCTCTAATACTTCTATTGTCTGTATGCGTGTTCAGGAAAACAGGATTATCTGAAACGCTTGAAGTTCACAACATCAGGAAACGGCATCACCGAGTAACCTTTGGCAAAGCTCTCATAGTGAAAACAATTTTCTCCCGAGCCTGAGCTGGGCAACACAGTGTCATTGCCGTGGATGTGTTTTCATACTTTCGTATGTTCAAATTATATAACCATAACATCTCATACGGCAAGTCATTTTAGCTGATACCTTCTGATATTTATTAAATTACTGATATCATGAATAGCTTCAGCCGGCTATCTATATCTGTACTAGTATGAAATGATGTTTATACTGTGGAAACTGTACGGAGAACATCCTGTATTCTGAAACCACTAAAAAAAACCCCACCTCTTTCAAGCATTTCATGTCATATAATTGGGTATAATATCTTCTGATATTTATGAAGTTACTTATATGTGTAAATCATATCACGAATAGCTTCAGCCTGCCATCTGTATCGGTACTAGTATTCATTAATGTTTATACTCTGGAACATAACACGAGTGGAAGCATAAATAAATATATATAATAGAACAAATGTCTCATTTTTAGCATTTCTAATTTAGTCAGTGATTACATGCCCCTCTGTGATAAACGTTATGAAGAAACGGTGGAGTAATAATCAATAACACTGAAGGCCCCGAACGGTAATTAAGGGCAACAATGGAGTATGTTAATTGAATCACAACACCTAGCTGATTGCAATTAGTCAAGGGGCAATTAAACAAGCTGGATACAGGTGTAATTAACAGGTGTATTAATTTCATTAGCCCGCACAGAGCCAGATTGAACACTGGGCTTCACTTTAAGCAACGTGTTAGATTCAAATACATGTACAAAGCTTTGAGCCTCAATAAAGAGGTATTTAGGTAGATATAATACCAGTCTATGGATTTAAACACATTTCAAGATACATCTGTAAGGTTTAAGGTGCGTTGAGCGCCCGGGCCAAGCCGGACCGAAGGCTTGTGAAACTGTGTCTTTGTTGAGAATGTATAGAAATTAGGGCTTCACTTTAAGCAACGTGTTTGCTTCAAATACAACGCTTTGAGACTCTATAAAGACGTTTTTAGGTAGATATAATACAAATCTATGGATATAAACACAAATCAGGATACATGTGTGAGGTTTAAGGTGTTTTTGAGAGCCCGGGCCAAGCCGGACCGAAAGCATGTTATACTATGTGGTTGTTGAGAATGTAAAGAAATTAGGGCTTCACTTTAAGCAACGTGTTTGCTTCAAATACTACACTTTGAGACTCTGTAAAGACGTTTGTAGGTAGATATAACACTAATCTATGGATATAAACACATTTCAAGATACATGTGTGAGGTTTAGTTTGTTTTTGACAGAACGGGCCAAGTCGGGCTGAACAGAGACTAAACACTTTTGATTGAGGCTATGTTGTGAATGGAGAGAGAAAAGGGCTTCGCTTTAACGGAGCAGTTTTCTTTACATGTGGCATTTTGTAACATCACACAGTGATAATTAGGTAGATATAATACTAATCTATGGAATTAAACACAAATCAAAATACATGTGTGAGGTTTAAGGTGTTTTTGAAAGCCCGAGCCAAGGCTGACCGAACGCTTGTGATACAGTGTCTTTGTTGAGAATATGTAGAAAAGAGAGCTTCACTTTCAGCAACGTTTTTGCTTCACATACTACGCTTTGAGACTCTGTAAAGTGGTATGTAGGTACATATATTACTAATCTATGGATATAAACACATTTCAAAATAGACGTGTGAGGTTTAGGTTGTTTTTGACAGCACGGGCCAAGTCGGGCCGAACAGAGACTAAACACTTTTGATTGCGGATTTTGTTTCTCCGGGGACCTTTTTCCCTAAATTGTTAGGAATGGAGAGAAAAAGGGCTTCACTTTTACTTTTACTTTTGATGAAGTGGTATTTAGGTAGATATAATACCATTTTGTGTTTCATGTGTATTAGTAAATATAAGCATATGCATACGCGCTGGCTATCTGATTTGGACTGGTATTGTTTACAATGAAAACACATAAGAATTTTTGTGTTTGTGAATGCATTCTTTGTTTGATCCTTAATAACATATAACAAAATGTTGTGATTTCAAATATTTCTTTTAATATACATAATCATGTCATATTTGCCCATTGACACTCGCCGATATCCACGTCTCTTTAACATAAACATCCTGTGCTCATTCAGCATGAGACAATAAAGGTTAATTAGGGAACCCCAATATCTTAATTAAGGAAAGAAAAGCAGTCAAAACACTGTCACTTCCTGCCCAGGATGTCACACGCTAAGAGAAGTAAGCAACCTTCCCTCATAGACATATCAAGGAAAACACATAACAACAAGACGGTGTCTCGGTATGTAGTCATTGTTGTTGTGTGTTTTTTTTCACCATTAACTATATATTTTCAATCAAACTATGCATTTGTGAAGGCAGGAAAAGTATCGACCTAAATGTGCAGGTTTCGTTTTAATATTCTGCAATCCATTTTTAGTATTACCCGGTGGCCCGGCCTGGCCCGACTTTTCTTGGCCCGACTTTTAGGCCATCCCTTTACTGAGATAGGAATAGGAACTTTCACATTTCTCAAGACGTGCACATTTATGCGTATATGCTCTTTAAAACCTTGTTTGGCAAGATGTGCCTCTCAGTTTTGCTGTTGTGTGCATGTTCATATTGTATTCCAATTTTTAACATATGGTTTAAACATATTTATATTCTCAGTGAATCTGGTTTGGTAAACAAGCAGAACATTGCTTTTATTAATACCTCACCAGTACATATATAATATAACAGAATACAGACAGACAGACAGACAGACATTTTATTTCAGTAATGAAGGCCCTTGGCCCATAATACAACATAGTGCAATTATAAAGAATACATACATGCTGGATATAGGATGACGATTGGAGTACAGGGTCAATTGATAGTAGTAGTGGATTTATGTCTTAGTTTTAATACGGTGGAGAGGAATGTAGTTAATGATTTTAGATAATTTATGTCGTTGCGAGTAATTAAACGCACAAAAGATTCAATTGTTGGAGGGTGGGTCTGGTGGGTTGTGAAACATTTATTTCTTATTTCAGAATATTTACCACAGATGAGTAGAACACGGAACTCATCTTCAACATAGTTTAAACCAACAGAGTTGCAGTAAAGGCAGAGACGTTGATCATAGGGTGTATTTGTGTGGCGGCAGGTTTCCACTGCTAATCTAAAGTTGTTACAGCGGAACATAGCCATAACTTTCCTTTGATATGTGAGGAGGTCACATGACAAGTAGTGTTCGACATTAAGTAAAGATTTAAATTGTGAATAATATTTACATTTAGATGAAGAGAGGAACGCCAATTTTGAAGGAAGCAGTCATAAAATCGCTGCTTGAAGATGGATATAAATGTTTTAATGCAGCAAATTTCTTGTGAGATCCATACAAACCCAAAACAATACTGAAAAAGGATTTGTCTTATATGTGAAGCCCAAGTAGATTTATTATTATCATCGAGAGATTTGAGAATTTGGTAGGCCCGATAAGGAAGTCTATGATGTTGTAGCTGCAACAGTCTGCAGCAGTACATTATTGATCTAGAGGTATAGTGGTATTGCAGTGAGAGTCTGCCACACTCTCCAAGCACCATGCTATTGTTGGTATACTTGCTGACTTTGAGAAAAATCTTACAGAACTTAAAATGTACAGTTTCAATATGTCTGCAATAAGTGGTTCCCCAAATCTCTGATCCATAACACAGAATAGGTGTAATCATGGAGTCAAATATCTTAAAAATGTCCTTGTGATTAATACATCCAAAATGTTTCTGGTAATTATAGATGGAGAATATAGCTTTGCTTGCTTGAGCTGCTAAACAGGATTTGGCTTTAGTCCATGACAATTTAGGGGTGAACACAAACCCAAGATATCTGTACATATTCACAACTTCTATTTGTTCACCATTTAAAAACCATTTCTCATAAGAACGGAGAGGACCACCATTTCTAAAAACAATAATTTTTGTTTTGTTCAGATTAACTTTCATTCCTGCATCTGCACAGAATTTTTCAACAATATTAATCTTCTTTTGGAGCTGTAAAGCAGTGTCTGATACAGTTGATACATCATCGGCAAATAATAGCGAAAATATATCAGGAATATGAGTTGATATGAATACACCTCTTCCACCATCTTCTTCCAGCATTTGAGCAAGTTTGTTTATGAATATAATAAAAATCTGCGGACTCAGAGTGCATCCTTGGCCGGCACCAATATTACATTTGAAATAGGGTGATAACCCCGAATCAGTTCTTACACAAGCGCACAGTGTAGAATACATGTTGATAATAAATTTAAGGAATTTTCCCTTACCCCCTTTTCTATCAAACTCATAAAAAGTAATTTATGGTTAATAGAATCAAATGCCTTGGAAAAGTCAATAAAAAGGTAATAGAACCTTCCATTTTGCTTTGACAGATATTTAGTGACTATAGCTTGACGGGTGAAGATATGGTCTGTTGTTGAATAATCATGTCTGAATCCAGCTTGTGCCTCTGAAATTGTATCATTATTGTCACACCATTGTTTCAGTCTATTATCAGCAATTGAGGCTAGAACTTTGCATAAGCAGTTGATCAATGAAATTCCTCTATAATTGTTTGGATATTTTTTATCACCAGATTTATGCAAAGGGCATATGATGCTTTCCCCCAAACATTTTGGAAAAATTGAACTATCATACAGTTTGTTAAAGAGTTTAGTTAATGTAGGTGATATGCAATTCTTAGTAGCTTTAAAGAACTCTGCGACTAATCCATCCGGTCCTGGTGATTTATTATTTTAAATATTTTTCAAGCTTAGACATACCTCCTCTTCCGAAAAAGGATCATTTAACACAGCTAAATGTTCATCCTCTATAT